AGGACAAAAATTTCCGCAGGGTCGGGTCCTAAAAATAGAAAATGCATGTCCCGACCTCGTCCCTGATTCCATTTTTTAAATAATTAATATATATTTATTACATTTTTTTTATACTTAAACTCTAAAAATAATTAAAAACAATTATAAAACCGATAATTTTTCTCGAGAACATCTCTCGGACCCAAGAACGAGGTGGAGACGGAGACTAAAAGTTTTCACGAGCCTGTGAATTGGGAGAGCATCCTGACTCGCACCCACCATTGTCATCTCTAATCTATATAAAATTTTCTTTTATAATATGTATTTTCAATTTTCTAACTTTTTAAAAATTAAAAATAACTACAAACATAAAAACAAAAAACAAAAAATGGTTATCAAATATATATGATTTTTGTTTTTTAAAAACAGAAAACCAACAACCAAAAACTAAAATGATTATCAAACATGTCCAAAATTGTAGTACCAAATCTTTGTCTTCCTGTACATATTGATACAGAAAATTGACCATTCAATTTTGATAGAACTGAAAATATTTAATAAGAGAAATAAAAATAGATTTCGATAAGATTACTCTCTTTTTACTCGTTTTAATATAGTCCTTAAATTTTGATTAAGATTTTATAAAATAATTTTTGCTTTTTTGTGTGCGCATTAGATGGAAAAAGTTGTTGTATTGGTTTAATTATTTAATATGTATTCAACCTGACAATAGAACTTCAGATTTGTCCTTTAGTTTCATGTGTTGAAACTGGGATCAAAATCCTATTTCATTTGTGTAGTGGTTTAGACTTCTAACTTCTAGTTGAGTCAATTTTAATTACTTTAAAATTTAATTTGAATGGATAGTTGAAATTAACACCTTCTTTTAATTAATTTATAGTCTCTTAGAGAACTGTGATCACATGCAAAGATTCATGTAATTGGGTGCAATTATCTTCTTCAGGTGGTTTTTTGTGGTTACATTAGGTGTTATTTTTAACTAAGTTTTGGAATAATTCTAGTATCGAATTTAGCTTAGATGTGAAGTATTTTTATCACTTCAGGCATAGTTAGTTCAGGTGGATAGGATATTTAATATCGTGGTTAAAATTGATGGTCCTATCCATGTTTTATGTCAAAGAAAATTTATTAACGAAATTAAAATTAATGAAACCCTAAACAAAAATAGGTAAAATAAATTTATTAGGAAACATGTTTGGCTACGCTTTGAATTTTGGGTAATTGTGGTGGGTAGTAAAAATATTTTATGTATTTCACAAAATGCCACAAATTTTTCAAATTTTCAAATATAGCAAAATATTTGAATTTTTATTTTCGAAATTTTTATTATTCCAATTTTACCCTTGTGATATCTAATATACATCCAATCTATATCTAATGTATATTTGTATCTAATATACATCTGATGTATATCTGTATATGATATACATCCAATCTATATATGATATACATCCGATGTATATTTGTATCTGATGTACCTCTGATATACTTCTGATATACATCTTATGTACTTTTGATATACATCTGATATACACCTTAATCTAGTCAATATTAGGGTTTCATTAAAACAGTTTAAACTTGTAATTAAGTTTAACTCCCTTAATCCAAATCTTACAAAGTTCCCATTTAAATTGAATATTGTGGGCTCTTTTCAGATATTCGGTGAATTAAATGCACTAATAATTGTAGTGGACATTTACTAATATTAATTGACTGAAAGTGTCTAAATGATCAATTTCTAAAGATTTCTATTTGAGTTGGTGCAGCTGTTGGATCGGTATGACAACCCTAGACGGGGGTGAATAGGTTTAATGAAACTTTTTAAACGTTTTACTACGATGGACCCAAATTAAACAAATAAGTAAACTTTTTAGGAACAATTAATTTTATCACAAATTAAACAATAAATTAGAAATACAAACACCCTAATTAATACTCAAATATTGCACATAAATATTAATAACAAATTATAGCAATTAATTTCATGCAATTTATAATAAAGAAAATTAATTGCAAAAATTAAATAGGGTAGGGTTAGAGAAAATGACACGGGAAATTTTATAGCGGCAACACCGGCCTACTCCATTTCCCAAGCTCCTCTTGGGTATTCCACTAAGAAACCTGATCACTCTTTTCACTGTAGGAGTCAAATCGATACAAAGTCTTCTTTTTCTTGGAGCAAGAAGAAACTCGATCATTTCCACGGTTCAGGATCAAACTGTAACAACTGCTCTTTTTCGGGCTCAAGAGCAATCCTTACAAAGATTTGGAATTTTAATACACAAGCTTACAAACTCTCTAAAAAGAGTTTTCGCTCACAATTTTGCTAGAAAAATTCTTACAAAATAAAATCCTCAAATGACTAGGAAAAATAAAATTTAATAACTCAAACATCTCTCAAAATAAAATTTCTCTCCCAAGAAATTATAATAACATTGAAGCTTTGGAAGAGGAAGAATAATGTAAAAATTGGAGAGAAATTTGAAGAGAATTAGAGAGAAAATTGGGAGAGAATTAGTGTCCAAATTTTAGGTAAAGAAGGATGTTTAAATAGAGGGAAAAGAGATTTGAAATGAGTATATAACCAAAATCAAATTGACCCTTGGATTTCAAAGAAAAAATCAATTGTTGAGATTTGGTTTGAAAATAAATAATAATAAAATATTATATATATATAATAATAATAATAAAACTGTCAACGGTTACATCCCATTTCCCTTTCTTTTTTTTTTTCTAAAGACTGACGACACATGTTAGCATTTAATGTTGACATATTTTTCCCTTTTTTTTTATATATATATATTTTTAACAAGTTACCTTGGTTTTTTTTTTTTACTTTTCCTTTCACGGTTCGCTATTTTACTGGTCCGTTTGTCATCCTCTCGGTATTTTTCCTTTCAATTTGTTTTTGTCATAATTTTTTCGTTTGAGTTTCGATTCGGGTGATTCAAAAATCGTTGGAATCTTTGTTTCGAGCTCTACACTGTGACACTTAAAAAACTAAAACTATCAATAAACAAAATATATATTATTAATAAATCATATAATATGATTGAAGTCGATAATAAATTTATGCTTTATAACAATAATCTTACACACAAAAAAACAATTAATACTAAGTGTGTTTGTTATCATCAAAACATTAATTAATTAAATTAATTAACCAAGATTAAGGTCCAAAAAGTCAACACTAGCATCTTGAGAATGTTATCTACGTTATATCAGATGTATATCAGACTATCACATCAAGCGTATATCAAACAATCATATCAGTAGTATATCGAACATTCATTTCAGTAGTATATGAAATATTTATATCAGTAGTATATCGGACGCTCATATAAATAGTATATCGTACGTATATCAGATATATATATCAATAATATATCACACACTCATATCAGTAATATATCACATTTATATCATATGAAAATCAGAGGGAAATGGAAATGTAGGATTTTCTGGGCTTGGGCATGCAGGACAATTTTGTCATTCAATATATGTGGGTCAATTTTTTTGGAAAAAAATTGCTATTTTTTTTATTTAATTTTTTTTTTACATATCTCAAGTTGACCCTTGAATTTTTTTGGAAGGTAAGAGAAATCCAATAAGCCCAAAAAAGAGACTTTTGGGAATCTTTTATATGAGTAATTAAATGTTTTCCAACATTTCAGAGCAAAATAGTTAGATTTTTGTACAAATCTAACAGATTTCAGATTTACCTTGGTTTGGTTTTTAAACAATTTGATGTATCATTTGGATATAAATAAGATTTTTGTTAAAAAATAATATGTCTCGATGTTCATCATGTTTCAAGGGCATTCATGTGTTCATAGCGAATAAGACAGTTAAATTTCATGTAGTTGCAACTATTATTTGACATCTTTGAGTGCTTCAAAAGAATAGACGTATTTTCCAAGACGTAGGTCCATATATAATGTAATCCATATCTTTGGGAAGCAATTATTTTATCTCCATCAACTTGGTCTCGAAGATTCACTTTATTTTGTAATTTTTTGATTTAATATTGATTTAATTTAGAGTGCTTTTACCTTAACGCTAAAAATGACATTTTAGGCACGTCTAAATTATATAGGAGCTAAAAATACTTGTTTAGGAGTTTAAATACGTCCTACGTTATGTTAGTCATACTATTGACTAAATAAAATGTTGAAAATTTGTGTTTAGGAGCTCAAAAAATACTAGTTTGGGAATGTGTTAATGTAGTAGTAGTTTTCTTGGAAATAGTATGAGCTATAATTATGATAGCATACTAAATAAAATAGAATCTAATTTAGGTATGTTAGGCACATTTTTTTAAGAATTAGTTTGGTGAGTTTATGGTATTTGAATGGTAAGCATAGCTCACAACCTCTTCTTTATTGCAAAATTAAAATAGAATAAAAATGAGAAAAAAAACAACAAAAAAATTAAAAACGAAAAAGGATGAAAGTTCAATTCTATGCTATTTATTCAACCTTTGACACCTATAATATTTTGGTATTCACAATTTTCGAGGAAAATTTTGTATACTTTTTTTTTTGTTTTTTTGGTTTTGTCATTATATGCATGTATCTATATATAACATATTACCCGTATTTGAAGGAAACTTTTATGCAGATGGGTACATCACATGAGCCATTATTTTGTGTATTGTGACCCAATTCCGCATCAAGTAATTTTCTTTTTACAAATGAATTACAACTTCGAGTTTGGAAAGGAAAGAAACCTTTCAATTTGAAACTTTATATAACATTTGGTGTCTATGGAGAAAATCAAAACGAATTCCATAAAGTCAAATATAAGTGTATACATATAATTCAATGATTGATGCATCTCTTTTTTTTTTTTTAAAGGTCATATGTTGAAGTCTCGATCCTCGTAATGCTTGAAAAAAAATATATTTCATAGAAAAAATAACTGTCGAAAAATTATACAGGTTTAAGATGAAAAAAAGATCCAAATTGCAAAACAAATACAAAAAGTTGAAGAAGAGAAAGTAGGAAATATGTGTTTAATGCTCAAATACAAAAACAAATTGATCATATATGAAAGTACAAAGGTAGCAATTTTATTAAGTAAACCAAAGTAAGAAAAAGACATGGTTCACCATACCATTCATTAATGAGCCAGCTTTCTTCCAATCATATCTCAAGACGTCTCATGTTCTCTCCTCTTCTTCGATGACAAAAGAGAAGGAATGCTCTGCTGATTCGTAAAGAAATCAGTAGGATCAACCTTAGTTTTTATGCTCACCAACCTCTCAAAATTATCCTTATAGTATTTAAGTCCCCATATGCTTGCTTTTTCATAGCTCGTGTACTCATTTATGTTGTTTATTCCAAGATCTAGATCTCGGTAATTGACATATGCACCTCTCGGATTTTTGGAAACGAAAGGAGTCATGTAATTGTAAAGCTTACGGATCCAACTTATATGTTTTTGTGCAATATCTTCGTCTCCTCCCCAAGATACCACATAATGAATGTTGTAAAGATTTCCAGCTCTATGTGGATAGGGAGTCTCTGATTCAGAAATTTCATTCATTTTTCCTCCATAAGGGATAAGATGCATTCGTGCAAATTGAACTTCTTTTTGGTTGAGTAATTCCCATAAACCGATGAGCCCAGTTTTGGGAATTGGCTCATCTACATAGTCAGATTTGCCTTTGAAGACGCCTCGAAAAGCAAAACTCCTATCGATAAGGACATCTAATGGCTGTCTTTTAGGTTCGAAGTCGGCAAAATAGAGAACGGATTCAATCCAGCTCATTTCTGTACAATCTTCTTTCGTCATCCCAAGTTCAGGGAAAGTCCTTTGCATGATGGGAAGAAGCTCTTCAACTTTTCCTAAGAACAAGGAGCTGAAAGATGCTTCAATTGATAGTCTTTTTCCATTTTGGTGATTGCTTGACTTCATGCCACTTAATATGATTCTGATGACAAGTCTATCATCTTGTTTATTGGCCACGTATTGCCACCGATGGACTAAATCGGTGGCATTTTCTTCTAAGTTTCTTTTAATTGTGAAAACAGTCACCACCGATGGAACTGAAACAAGCTTTATTTTCCATGAAAGAATAATTCCAAAGCTTGCTCCTCCTCCTCTAATGGCCCAAAACACATCCTCCCCCATCGATTTTCGATCGTGGAGCTCACCGTTAACATCAACGAGATAAGCGTCAATCACATTATCAATAGCGAGGCCAAATTTTCGTAGCATAACACCATAGCCACCGCCGCTGAAGTGCCCGCCAACTCCAACTGTCGGGCAAACTCCACCTGGGTACCCTAAAGTTTTGCTTTTCTCTGCAATTTTGTAGTAAAGTTCGCCAAGGGTTGCTCCGGATTGCACCCATGCAACTTTTCTTTCTACATCAATGTCGATCGACCGAAGGTTTACGAAATCAACAAGGACAAAAGGAACATCAGAAACATAAGAAATACCCTCGTAGTCATGGCCACCACTTCTTGTTCGAATCTGAAAGCCGTTCTTTCTTGCGCAAATGATGGATGCTTGAATGTGGGAAACTTGCAATGGTGTCACGATTACTTGAGGCTTTGGAGTTTTAGCACCCATGAATCTTTCGTTCATGATTGAGTAGTTCAAAATTGAAGAGTACGAAGGATCAGTTGAAGTGTAAATAATATTCAAAATTGAAGAGGTGTTGAGGGAATGAAGAGAAAGACAATGTATAAAATTTTCCTGGTTGTAAGCAGAAGCAACCCATGAAAACCATGAGACAACAAAAATATAAGCTAAGGAGGTAATTGGAGACTTCATGTTTGGTTTTGTGTTTTGGGAATGGATGAAAGCTGCTATTTATAAAAGAGGTGGCTCTCTTTTGTGGGAGCATTGGGAAAGATAATTTTGAAGGGTGTTGAGGCTGAAATTCTTCTACGGCGATTGGACCAGAAAGATTGCAGAACGGAGAAGAAGGGCTTTTATGAGATTATAAGATAGTAGGCCACTTTGTTAACATTTTCAATTTTTTTTTTTAATGTTTTATTCTTTTTAATAAAGAAAAATAGAAGGGTAGGATTTCAGCTCACATGAATTAAAGAATTATAAGAATGAATCTAGAAAAAATTGGTGGAATGCCAGAATAAGAAACAAAAAATTGGTTTTTGTTATTTCCATAAAAATTTATCTTAAGAAACATAAATAGTTGTAAAATACTTAGATTTCTTAATAAAATTGAAAATGAGAAATAAGAAATGAAAAGATTATCAAACCGATCCTAAGAAAGCTTATTGGTGTCTGTTTTTTATTTTTATTTTTATTTTTTTAGTGGATTATTTATTATTAAAGGAAAATGAGGGATACAAAAGAAAATAAATAAATAAATTGGACAAATATAGTATCTACACTATTTATATATTAGTTACCTTAGTGAAATTAGTTGCATTCAGTTTTTGAAATAACAAGGGCAAAATCGAAATAACAAAAAAAAGTATAAATTTTGTTTCATAAATTTTTCCACAATCTACTAAAAAAATTATTGCTATATTTACAAATATGAGGATATTTTTAAATTTTTTTATTAGACTTTTGATTTTAAAATGGAGTACACATCAAAATTTTAAAGGTCGATGTCGAAATAAATGTCGAGATCTCAATTTCATGGAAATATCGAACAAATGTCGATGTTGATGGATATTTTTTTAAAAGTTAGAGAAATTAAAAAATCATAAAATATATTTAAATTAACACATAAACAGTTTCTTATTTATAAATAAACTAAAAATTTATAATATTAATATTATATAATATTTTATTGATATTTTGTTGATAATTTTTACTAGATCAATTTGATGTAATACGATAGAAATGTCGATTTAACTTTCATGTCCACTTTTAACGTTCTCATATATTTAAACGTAGTGGAAATGTGGACCAATATTTTATGATTTGCACCCGGTTGATGTTGACTTTACATATCTATCCTTGTCCTTTCTTTAATGTCTCTGTCCAGTCTCTGTCTCTCCATCTCTCCACGTGATTTGTAAATTATGTCCATATCTGTAGAATTAAAAAATTGTTGATGTATATAAACATGACGATTTATTTAAAATTTTTTAATTTTAAAATGTACACATAAATACACATAAAAGTTTTAAATATCGATATCGTTTCAAATATCGAGATCTCAATTTCATGAAAATATCGATAAAATATCTTTGTAAAAATTAGAGAAATTAAAGAAAAAATAGTAAAAATATTTAAATTAACACATAAATATTATTTTATTTATAAATAAGTTAAAATGAATAGTGTATATTAATAACATTTTGTTTATATTTTTCCTATTCTATCGATTTTTTTTTTTTAATATGATGAAATTGTCGACTTACTCTACGTGTGTGGAGAATATTTAATACCATGAATTTAGATATTTTATAATTTGAACGTGGTTAATGTATGATGTAAAGTATAGCCTCTCTCTGTCCTTTCTTTATCTCTCTCCATCCAGAGTATCTGGGGCCCTCAACGTGATTCACGTCCAAATAAATAGAATATAATAGATATTATTTAAAAAGGAAAAAAAAAAGGATTTCACACAAATACAACATTTTTCTTTCTCCTAAGACAAAATTTTAAATTAATATTTTAGTTTGAATAGTTCTAGCTTTATTATCACCCATCAAAACATAAACTTTGTCTTATATAAAATATTTTGTTTCTAAAAGGTTGTGGCCTGATGTAATTTACCACACTTATGAATCTTCGATGGGTAAATTAATAATGTTTTTTTTTTCAACACATTATGCACTATTCAGCTTTAATCTCATTTCTTTTTCTCTTTCCCAATGTGATTCAAGAAATGAATTTAAAACTAATTAGAGAGTGATTAAAGAGAGATTAAGGAAAATCTTCATGTTTGTGTGGGTGGAATTTGCTGCCAAAAAGTTGTGATGAAGCCAAGAGAATAAAGACGAAAGCAAAACAAAATAATGGAAAAGACTTGGCCACTCAAAACTCCCACCATCCATATTAGGATATATCTTTTTAAATATTTACTAAAATTGAAATTACTTATAAAATATTTTATTTGTCGAACTATTTCTTTTTTTTTTAAATAGTACATTTTTATGTGGTCCACTCATGAATCCGTAGATCTACCTCATGTGATCATATATAATTTTTTCTTTTTTAAATCTAAACATGCTTTAATTTTTCTTCTAAAAACCAATGAACATGGCAAAATACTATAGGACAGAAAATCACAAGCCTATAACATACTAGCAATCGTTGTGCAGAGCTATGGCTTGTTGTTGGTTTCATCCAAAAGACCTCATATCAATGAAATAATTGTCCTATCTTACATATTCATATCATTTCGTTCTCTAACCAATGTGGGACTTTGTTGGTAATTACCTTACAATTCCAACAAAAGAGAAATAAATAAACGGTAAAATATATATATATACACACTTTTTTTTTTTTTTTGCATCAATCGTTTGTCAATCTGTTCCACGCTTCTTTAGAGAGATTGGAGGTGTGAGGAAGAGAGAGGGGGAAGAGGAGAGGGAAAGATTAAAAAAAAGGAAATTTATTTTTGGAGAGAGAAAGGGATCTAAAGAAGAGAGACGAAAAAATATATTTTGGTTTTTCTTTTAAAGAAAGAGAATTACTTAGGTTGAGGAGGAATTTCAAAACAATTTTTTATTTTTTATGTTTTAGAGGGATATAGGGGTTATGGGTTAAGGTTAAGGAACATAATGATATTTGTTTTTTACCTTGTTTTATAATTTTACTAAAGGAGAAGAAGAGTGATTTTTTTTTTTGTTTTAGTAAGATTATGTAAATTGAAAGAGCAGAGAAGAAGAGATTATAGAATAATTTTTTGCAAACTTTTTTATTTTTAATGAATGTGATGGCAAAAACATTTAGTAAAATTAACAAAATAGTCACCATATTTAATTTTTTCAAATATAGCAATTTTTTTTAAAAGAAAAATGGAGATTCAATTTCAAAACGACAACTTTATCCAAATGATTTATATCTGTAATATATTTGTAATATATCTGTAATATATCTGACTACTGATCATATATGTATATGATATACATCTGATATACTACTGATATGAGTGTCCGATATACTTACAATATGTATGTGATATACATTAAATATACTACTGATATGAGTGTCTGTGCAAATATGTATATGATATACATCTAATATACTACTGATATAAGTGAAAATTTTTGTTATATTTGGAAATTTGAAAAACAGGTGACATATTTTGAAATACATAAAAGATTTTTTGCTACCCACTGCAATTTTCCTAATTTATTTGGGAGTGAAGAACTGATTTGAGAAAGAATAAACGATGGGGAAGAGTAAATACATCATTTCACAACAATGACATAATCAAAATATTAGAAAATTTGGATTTTCAAAGAGGGGTAAAAATCAATTCTGCCATGAGGAGAAAAGGCTACTCCGTCCAAAACCCCAAAATTTGCCTCTATCCCAATACAAAATTTTAAATTACTTTTAGTTTTGGTTCAATTTGGCCTCCATGATTTAACTTTGGTTAATTTTAGTCTATGTAATTTTAAAATATTAATTTTGATCTTGTACTTTTAAAAAGTGATAATTTGAGTTCATATTTGCAAAATTTTAACAAAAATTCTTCACATAACTGAAACCTTTTAGTATAAAGTAATTGTTACATTTTAAGAAATATTTCAAGAAATAGATTGAGCATGATATTGCATTCATATTATGATAGAAAAAATGAGATTATAATAAATTAATCGATCAAAATTGTCACTTTTTTAAAAAAGTACGTGGATCAAAATGAACATTTTAAAGTATAAATACTAAAATTAACAAAAAATATTAAAAGTAATAATATTTTAACCGTAAATTAATATCTTAGTTTATATTGGTGTAGCTTTATTCTCACTTCACCAAAAAGGTAAATTTGGCCTTGTTTTATTTCAACACATATATGCAATATTTAGCGACAGGCTCAACATGATTCGTGTATCTCTCTCTCTCTCCCAACGTCAATTCACATCTCACTAAAATCTAATTTGAGAGTGACGACAGAAATTTAAAACAACACGTTGTCGGTTCGTATGTCGTCCTTTCAAGAGAATATTTTTATATCTTTGATATTATTCTTCGGTGAAATCATATATTTACCCTTCTTTTAATCGTTCATACTTTTCTTCCTTGTTATTCTCTCTTATTATAATCATTCTTCTTCTCTCTCTTAGCTTTTTTCGTTGTGTTCTAATCTCTTATTCTCTCTCAAATTTTTATAATCAAATCATGCACAATTTGAAGTATATATAAATAAATAAATAAATAATAAGAGATTTGACAAGAGTTTATAATAGACATGAAGAACTTGTTTTATTGCCAATTAATTTTGATACGGAATCTCGTAAATATTAATATGGTATCAGAGTCTAAAACGTTCAAACAAGCATCTGATCCAAAAGTGAAATCCGACCAAGATCGATGAGTCAAAAGAGTCACGATTTTGAAAGGGCGTTCCACGTTGAAAAGATAGAGGACTTAACAATGATTTATAATAGATACGAGCTACTCTTCTCATCGCCAAATGATTTTGAGATCAACCTTACGAATATGTGCGTATGGCTCTCTCTAAACTGGTTGTTTTTTTTTTTTTTGTTGACTTATTAATAAGATGCCATTGTTGCAGCTCGTTTTAAAACTCCAAATTCCCTCTCCCTCCCAAAACCAGCCATTAGCAGCAGAATTTCAAGAGATTAAAAAGCTTTCATTCTCATGAAGATTTTCAAGACCCATTAAACCATCTTGGAGAAGCTGCAGGATAAACTTGTTAAATTTGAAAAATTAATTAGTCGAGAGTTATCTATGTTCAAGTTGCAAAATTT